CTCCCAGCAGGACGCTTTCTGACGAGCAACAAACTAAACAAATAAACCAAAGTCTAATTCCGGATCTCAATTACCATCTGCTAAATTTACTGACTGCAGCTTCATCTGTGAAAGGATTTTAAAAGTTTAGCAGAGAAACCCGGGCACAAGAAGCAAAGACACTTGCTGGCTCAATGGCAAAGGTGATGAACTGGCCTCGAACTCCTCGTGCTGGTATTTATGAAATGTTAAATCTTCATTTAAAAATGTTCCCTTAAGCTGGGTGACATGGCAATGAGTACGACCCACCACTAGCTCAAGAGTCTCTGTTGCATAACAAGATTTAAGGTTTATGACCTAAAAACAATTGCTTTGTGTCTCAGGACAGTCTGCGGGAAGCTGCTTCACACACAGAGTATTCTTTAGCTACCCAAATGGAGTGATTTGCGCTTGGCACATCTGGTCTACGACCGCCAACGAATGATTCTATGGGCTAATATGGACGAGTAACAGGCTGATGAAGAAACCATGATTGTAAAATGATTTTAAAAACATCTTAAGTTCTTTTTAATACAAAATAAAAATAAGAGAATATAGTTATAGTCAGCGTTTTAATTCCTAGGGGGTATAATTTGAAAAAAAAAAAATTGGCAAATTTACTATCAACATAACAGCATGTGCGGGTTCTTGTACAGAGGGTGTAGGTTGCCTACAGCCGGGTTCAATTTAAACTTCCAGATAATGGGATTTAACAAATACGGTACTATGGATCCAAGCCGTTAGCAGCTCTCTGCTGTATTGATAAACCCTACGCTTTCAATCAGACCAAGGCTATGCTTTTAACTGCCACGCTAGTTCACGTTGATGATACCTATAATATCAACTCAACAATGCATGTTCTACAACTACATCTACTGCTACCAGTACGACTACTACAGTGCATGCATTTAGTTCAGTCCCACAGATACATACACTCTAAGAACAGGCAAGGGGAGATGTGAAATGTTTTACGGGACGACAGGTGTTTTGTTTTTTAAGTAAGGGAAATTAATAAAAACATCAAAAGAAAGAAAGTGTACAAAAAAATAGAGACATTTCTCAAGAGTTGATATGAGTTGTTTCTTGAACCGTTTCGTCCGAACAAGCAAAAGACATGCAACCAGCTGCTACTAACAAGAAGCTGGACACTGAGAGAGGATTAATAGTTGTGGACAAACCTTCCCGCTGAGAGCGCTCAGAAGAGTGTTTGAGAGGAGGTGTGCACGTCCGAGTGTAAGAGAGGCCGGAAAGTATGCCTCAGAGACACCCTCTCTCACAGCAGCCCCAACCAAGCAAGAGAGAAAACAACAAAACATAACTGCTCACACTCACCATCAAGGTCAGTAGCTCACGTTATGAGATTTGTTATAGCTGGCAAGTATAAAGTACAGTAAGGGGTTGTCGGGGCGCAGGGCTCAAAGGCAGCACTGGCAAGCCGGGACTGGCGCCCAAAATCCAGATGTGCCGGGGGTCGGGGAGGGAGCAGCTCCTGGTGCCGCGGCACTGTGCTGCCCCGCCACGCTGCGTGCCACCGGCCGTCTCGGCGGGCAAAGCGTGCCCGTGGGAGCCTGTGCCGCTCACCTGGGACAGGCATGCACGGCTCCTCCCGGTGCCGAGCAGCGGGAGTCGGGCTGGATTAAGGATGGCCTTATCGATTTTGTCTCCATTCCTCAGGGAAGAATTGTTGGTGGCAACAGGTTGGGAACTGGAAAAATCTCAGACTGACTTGCCAATGAACCAAAGAGGAAGGAACGAAAACCCTCTCCTCCCAAATTTTCCTTGTCTCGCTCTCCTGCCAAATGAATCCCTCCCATGTCAAATGCAAGATAAAAATGTCCCCCCCATGACTGTATTTTAAAAAAAGCATTTACACGACAAAAATGTTTTACACGTAAAATATGTCAGGTGAATTCAAAAGAAATGTGACATTGATAGTGAAGTTGTCTAGGAGTTTGCAGCATTCAGACTTTTAAGTTTGCTCGTTTTCCGTGGCTCAGGTCCCAATTCATTAAAAAAAAATACAAGGATGGACGAGGTTGCCCAAACCAGCTGAGGGATTTGGCAGCACAGTCCCACCCGGTGTGAATGGACGTGCCCAAACCCCTCCGTCTGCTCGATGGACCTCAGCTATTGCCTCATCACTGGGATGTCGATTGGGCACGTGATTTATAAAGAGAAGCATCGCTGTGTTCACCCCGCCAGCACATGACCGGCTAAGCTAGACAGGAATTCCTGAGTGGCACTGAGCATGTGCAGGGGAAAAGGTCCCCTTCTGCTGTGACAGAGAAGAGAACGTGTTTATCTAGCAAGGTAAACTGGTGACTGCATCCTCACACACTGCCACAGGGGCGAGGGCAGGGAAGACTGGGCAGCGCAGAACTGGGGTAATTGCCCCCAGGTGGGCTCCCTTCCCTGTTAAGCAAACATGCAGATTAACTATGAGCAGGAACATCACCCTTGGGAGAAATCAAGGTGGTCAGTGCCCATGCACTGCAGCCCAGGGCGTTGGAGTGAAAGGGCTGCAGCCTCCTTGGAAGACCAAGATGCATGCCTGGAGGTGGACGCTCTCCGTGGGCGCTCAGCCCCACTGGTGGGCACCGGTGCCTGGGCCGAGCTCCGGTACTGCAGAGCCACCGCGCTGGCAGTGACACCAGGAAGGTGGGGAAGAGCCAGCAGGACGGGGCTGGAGAGCAGAGGAGGTCAATTTGGAGTGAGGTGGTGGTGGGAGTGCTGCAGAAGGAGCAGCAGTGAATGGGGACGTCTCCGTCAGCCTCTGGGCAAAGCGCTCCCCAGCGAGCGGAGGGGCGGTGGAACGCGCCTGCCTGGGTGTTTTCCAGCTCTTTTCCATTTACTGGCAGAAAGGGGCCAGTAAGGGCCAACTGTGCTGCGCTCTGTGCTTTTGGATTAGGCACGCGTGAAGGAGGGCTGTGCAAATTTGCAAAGGAAAAAGAAAAACCCAACTGAAAAGAAGAAGAAAAAAATAGCTGAACCATTTTTCTTGTAATGAATCGGGCCCATACACTGTAGCGCAAGATCGATCATACTCTACTGCTCCTGAATACAATTCACTACCATTGCTGGATGGAAGTGGCGAACCCAGGATGTCCCTTCCGAAACTCGTCTTTGGATGGAAATGACTCTACGTAAAACACCACTGTTCCCAGAACACGTTTCGCTGCAAATGTGTGCAGCTGTCATGCCTGGCCGGTGAGAAACCCATCTTCCTCCTTGGGATCTCGGGGCTGGGGAGGGGTGGTGGTGGGTGTCTTTTGATTCAGTTTTGGGGTTTTGCCAGTTTTGTGTGCACAGGCAATTTTGAGGCTTGAAAGACATTTCCAAACACCATACTGCTCTTTAAACTTGCCAGAAAGGGTGTTGTTAATTTAGGGTTAGATTTAGTTTCGTATTGCAAGTTCAAATAAAAAACAAAACCGAAAAAACAAAACAGAAAACCCAACAAAAGAAAAACCAAAAACCACTCAAATTAAAGACAAATGATTTTCAGGCACAGAATTGATCAATGCTCAGTTCAGTTGTAATGGGCACCAAAAGCACTCCGATTAAAAAAAAAATAATAATAATCAGGGAAGCAACGTTAATCCAGCCAAACCCTCTGTGCCTTGCTAAGGGGCAACTCACCAGGTCTGTTTGCACGTAAAACAAAACCTGAAGGGCAAAACATGAGGAAGAGGCAGAAACAATGAAGACTGTTTTCCCGAAATCATATGCAAAATCAATCTCTTTTTTTTTTTTTCTTTCTCTATGTTTTTTTTCCTTCCCCCTCCACGAAGGGGCATTAGGAAAAGCCGGGAGATGGGGAATCCCCACAACCAGTCTGGCAAGTCACCCCTTAGGCGCTCTCTACATGCCACAAGATGAAACTGGTACAGATAATCCTTTGTAGCCTGCAAGCAGTGCCAGTTTGCATGGAACGGAGTTTTCCTGGTGTCTTTCTTTGGCCTCCATGGCATCAGGCTCGCACTCGAGACACACCTGGGCCTGCGCCCTCCTCGTAGCCCCTCACACAGCGGTTTGGTCGGGTCTTTTCGGGAAGAGCCCGGTTAACCCACCGGGACTGCCAGAAAAACCACCGAGAAACCTCCACTTTAGGACTGAGCCATGAGTGAGCTGGAAACCGCTGCCACCACCACGTCCTCCGCTCCGGCACTGGGCCCGGCGAGGGGCTGGCCGCCATGGGGCCGGGGCG